ATATATCAGATTTATTTATGTAAAAAAGTGTCAATCTTTCCAAAACTTGGTTTAATCAATTTCAAACCCTTTCATTAATAGCAAATACATTGTTAGACGTTCCCAACAGATTATTCTTAGCCTTGTTCTGTTTTAAAAGATGTCTAGTTGCCTGTTATTTCTATAGTGACAATCGAAGTGTCAACCGATGTTAGTTTCAGAGGTCGGGAATCTTCGAGTTAAGCCCTTCGAGTTAAGCCCCTCGAGTTAAGCCCTTTTCGAGTTAAGCCCCGACCACGCCCTGTTTTGCCATGACCACGCCCTTTTTCAAAAAGGGCTTAACTCGAAGAACGAAACACGATTTGGGTTATTCGAGTTAAGCCCCGGGGCTTAACTCGAAGTTTGACAAAAAGTTGTTGCTCGAGTTAAGCCCCAACTTTTGAAGTATGTCGACGAGTGCAATATTAAATTGTCAAATTTTCAATACAAAAAAGCCAAAGGCAAAGCACAGAAATTTTCCCAAAAAGAACTTGTATATCGCTAATGTAATACGATTATCTAAAACAATCACAACTATTATCGTTAACAATATTTTAGGTTTTTCATATTTAAATTAATATTAATTACTTTTAGTGGATCGTTTATCCACAACAAAACAACAAAACAACAAAACAATATTTTAATTATAAAGTAGATAGAATCCTAACTCGTTCCTTTTGTTTGAATGTGCACAATATCGACAAATTAACAGTTTTACTGTAACAAAAATGGTACAATCTTCTCCCATCACCTTGAACAAAACTAATCTATTAAGAAAATGATCGAAAATGACAGCACGTAATAACTAAAGAAAAAGAGAGGAAAGGGAAGGAATTTCGGTATAGAATGATCTGTCTTTGACAACTTGCGCCCAGAGACTCACGCCTCATACGCACATGTACAGTCATTTTATTAGCCAAATGGTTACGAATCACGAATGGTTTCATTTGGGTAAACAAATTATCACGGGGAGAAATTGTTACATTTGAGTAAAATACCCAAATGTAACAATTTATCCCCGTAATAATGGCGCTACGTTGACTTGTATTATTAAATTAAAAAAAGGGAATATTTGCTGAGCCATTAGTAATTTTATAAACGAAATGGTGACGTAGCGCCATTATTACGGGGATAAATTGTTACATTTGGGTATTTTACTCAAATGTA